GTCAATCAGCCCCGGTGAGCAGATCGGGCAGAGAAATAAAGTACACCGAAAACATGTCCAGCTATAGGCAAGACGGATTTGACAAAATGGAACGTAAATTTATGAATTCGTACAAAAATGGAAAACAAGTATCAGAGATTACAGAAACAATCTCAAACTCAACTTCGAAGAGAATGTCTTGGGCGACATTGGTGATCAGATTAAGTTTTTAGAAACTGATATCCTAAAGCACTTTACTCTGATGCGGGAGAAGTGTCCGCTCAGTATACCTACAGATGTAATACGGAAAGTAGACGCGTGTGTAGCAGTGAACGCAGACTTAAGGAAAATTATTAACGAACGTCTTAGCGAACTCGTACCCTTCGATTCAGAGCAACAAGTGAAACAACTGAAATATTTGAAGAAAACGTCTTACGCCGAATCGGTTTTCAGTTCCATTTCCGAGACATCATTTTCATCTACACACTCGAGAATATCTGAAAAGATGGCTGATGCTGCTGCGGATTTGGCTGCAAAACAGGCCAAATTTCAACTCCTAGAAAGAAAAGAGACCGAACGTGCTAACCTGGCTCGGCTGGAAAGGGAAACAAAGCAGATGATAGATGCCCACCAACGAGAAAAGGAACGTATAGAAGCGCATGGGGAGGTGGAAATAGCCCAAGCTCGTTTCCATGCCTATTCCCAAGCTGTCAAAGAGGAGCAGCAGGAAGATAAGGTCAATACTTATCAGGCTTTGCCTAACACCCGCCCATATCCGAACACATCTTCTTCTTTCACATCTGCACCGTTAGATTCCGGGCCCAAGTTGTCGCCTACTGCGCAGCCGTTTCAGCCTCGGGTATTTAACACAACGCACCAAACGAACGCTGATCATCTGACAAGCAACGAACCAGTCGTCAACGACAATAACGCTCTCGCTAAGGCGCTTGCAGAGTCTGTCAATTCAAACAGACTACTCGTTCCGGAACCCAGCGTTTTTACCGGAGACCCACTTCAGTATATGGAGTGGAAGACTTCCTTCGAAATGTTGATTGAACGTAAGGGCATTCCTCCTCAAGAGAAAATCTTCTAACTTAAAAAATATGTAGGTGGTTCGGCGCGTAAAGCCCTTGAAGTTTTTTTTTATACAGTGGTAGTGAGGCGGCCTTTGACAACGCAAGGAAAGTACTTAAGGAACGGTATGGGAACCCATACGTTCAGCAGAAAGGCTTTCGTGATCGTTTGGATAAATGGCCTAGAATTCCTGGTAAGGATCCAAATGCGCTCCGAGATTTCTCAGATTTTCTGCTAGGCTGTAAGGATGCCATGACACAAATTCCAAATCTGAGTGTATTAAACGAATGCACCGAAATCGAGAAATTGCTAAGCAAACTTCCAGATTGGGCGTCAGTGCGGTTGAATCGCATTGTTACCGACAAACTTGAATCGTCAGATGAATACCCGTCCTTTAACCAGTTCGTCGCATTTGTCGCTAAAGAGGCAAAGGTTGCCTGTAACCCTATATCATCAATATACGCAATTAACGACAACGACCGTAAAATGCCTCGAGAACCCAAAGTCGGCAGCAATAAGGTGAAGGTGTTTGCCACTTCCACATCTGATCACACCAAGACTCGAACTGCATCTTCAACCGAGAACAAAGCAGCCATGCGTTTTCTGCGAGAAAGTCGGCCATCATATAGTTAATTGTGATAAGTTCACATCTCTCTTAATTGACAGGAAACAAGCATTTGTGCGCGACACGAAACTGTGCTATGGATGCCTTCGTAAAGGCCACGTGGATAAGGATTGCCAACGAAAACACACTTGCAACGTTTGTAAGTTGAAACATCCCACATGTCTTCACGAGGACCGTCCTCCTGCTAAACACAGCCTTTCAGGTTCAAACCCGTCTGGTGATGTTGAGGTGAAACGAGAAAGCACTTTACGCGTAAGTCAGAACAACGGTCACCCATGGTGAGCTTGTGTCGTCTGTGCAGAACATATTCTGTCTGTTCTGTTTTCACATGTTACCCGAACACACCGGTACAGAAATATACCGGAAGTCGATAATTCAAGATGGCATCCTGTAATGCCGAAGCTGCACTTGCAACATTGTTAGCGGAGGAAAGTGAAGCAGAGGATGATGAAAACACGATGGATGACGATGTGGCGTTACTCGTGACAGCAATTTCACTTCTGCAGTACGTATATGAGAAATAAAATCCCAATTTATGTAATTGCACTGATCTAATATGTTTTACAGCCGTACAGCAGGCATTCACTTTCTGGTTTTTAAATACGAAAGTAGTCATAATATGGCTATTATTTCAATTAATATAGGATTCATATCATAATATCATATAATTCCACGTATAAATGCCTGTGTGCGTGTTAATGTAAAAACAACAGGCACCTGGTCAATTTGATACTGACGGGTCACTGCATGTTATTCACATTTAGCAAATATACTGAAATGTGTTAAACTGGTGTTGCGAAATATTAGAGCAATATGTATGTCTTATAATGGTGACCATACTTTAATTTTAGTGTTAGATATTTATTTCATAAATAGTATTTCGGGTTATCTATCAGTTGACCACACTGAATTTTATATTAATATTTAGTGTATTTGTTTTTTCAGACAAGGAGATAAAAGGTCCAGATTAGAAGGATACATCGAACAAGTTGTACCACGCTATGATGATAAAATCTTCCGCAGGATGTTCCGAGTTAGCCACAACACATTCAGCATACTTCTGGACTTTTTGAAAGATAATCCTTAAGTTCAACCCGCTGGCCTTGAGGGGAGAGAGTCGGTTCCTTTGGAAACACAGTTACTCCTAACTCTTTGGTATATGGGAGGGCAAGACACCATTACTAAAATTGCAGACCGCTCCGGTGTATCAGAATCGTCAGTTATAGCATCCAGAAACAGAATTGTAACTGCTTTTTTGAAAATGAGCCATACATTTATTGCATGGCCCAGTGTTCAAGAAATGTTAGAGGAAGAGGATAAATTCAGTCAGAGAAATGGTTTCCCAGGAATTGTGGGAGCTATCGATGGCACTCATATACAGATAAAGGCACCTCGCATGAACTCACAGTCACATGTGAACAGAAAATGTTACCACTCTTTACAACTTCAATGCGTGTGCAGGCATAACATGTTGTTTTCCCACGCTTCTGCTGGATACCCAGGAAGTGTCCTCGATGCCAGGGTTTTAAAAAACTCGGACTTATGGACCGATGGGTTGGCCAAATGCAACATGGTTCATCACATACTTGGGGATGGTGCTTATCCACTCAGAAAATGCTTGTTAACACCATGTGTTGTTGCATACATTTGTTCGACTTTTGACCTTGAGGTCAAGATCAGTGACCTACTTACATTGCACTGCACATTCTCTCTGGGTGATGCATGTATGAAGTTTCATCATGATATCTTCGACGGTTTAAAAGTTACACAACGTTACAAGATCATTCATTCGAAGGGGAGACATACTAAAAAGATACAAGAAAATAATTTTGTATTCACATGTAACTTCCTGGGAATCACAGCTCACAAGTATTTTATTAGGTCACCTGAGCTTTAGCTCAAGTGACCTATTGCTATCCGTTTTCGTCCGTCGTCGTCCGTCGTCCGTCGTCCGTTAACATTTTACATTTCAAACTTAAAGTCAAGTTCTGCTGGGCCGATTGAACTGAAAGTTGGTAGGAATGATCGCCTCATGGTCCTGACAAAGTGTTGTTATTTTTCGGGTCGATCAGAAATCCAATATGGCCGCCAC